TTAGAATAGGGGTGCTCACAGAGTGAGTATGAAGGAACAAAATGCCATAACAATTAAGAGGGGATTATAATATGAAAATACTTCTAGGCAATACATTTTTAGTATTTTAGGATCAAGATATATTTTTAATTTTTTGGAGGGTGATAATTTTCTGGCTGAATTTATTGTATCTCACTCACAAACTTCAACATAAATAACAATTACAGGCTTCGTAGTGGTTCAAAATAAATATCAAGAAAATTTTTTTTTAAAAAAAAGACCAAACCAGGACATTTTTTGTGCGATACAGACACTTCAGAGAATTTTTAAGAAGGGAAAACAATGGGCCAAAAAAATTTTGTTTCAAGCGACATTTTTTAATTTGCCTCAAGATTTTTTTTAAAAGAATGGGTGACACTGAATATTTTCAAATAAAAAAAATTAAGACAGGAACAAGTAGATCAGAAATTATTTAAAAGCAAGTGTGATTTGGTGTATGCCTATATATGCTAAGAAACCTTGAAACCTGAATTTTCTTGATTTCAAGAATAGTTACTTAAATTTAAAAATACATGGAAATAAATTCAAAGGGAACTGATAATTATAGTTATCTTCAATATATATTACTCCAAAACTAAATTGTATATGATCTCATTACTAAAGAATAAATACATACAAAAATAAACAAAGGATAATAAACATAATGTATGGTAATATGGTAAAAAAGGTCAAAATAAAAATTTAATAAATAAAACTAAAACCATTACTTAAGTTAAATGTATATTTAAATTTTCGCCTTTGCAATCAATGAAATGCATAAGAAATGAAGCACAATGGTGGGAAATAGAATCTACAATACAAAGATACATCGAAATAAGTTAAAAAGAAACTGATAATTATAGTTATTTCTATGAAACAATATATTACTCCGAAACTAAGTTGCATATGATCTCATTGCTAAATAAATGACAGATTAGTAAACATAATGAATCGTAATTTGAAACAAACTTCAAAATAAAAAGAAAATAAATAAAATAAAACCATTTTACTTAAAATAAATAGATATCTAACTGTTAGACTTTGCAATAAATAAGATGCATAAGAAATGAAACACAATGCTTTTACTACAACATGGACTTTGATGGACAAGAGAAAAAAATTTATAAATTGAAAAATCGATCTACAATATGTTTGTGATTATTAAGAATAATGAAGTTTTATCATTTTTAAATGAAAAGATGATTTAAGGATTCACAAATGACTGAGAAATAAAGTGCATCAAAAATATCAAGCGAATAAAACACCTAATTTAAAGAGCATTTTCTCAACTTATTAAAATAAATTAGTAATAACCATTAAAAGGATTTGCAGCAATCTAAAAATAAAATGCAATATGGTTTTATTACTTCATACCTTTTGGATGACGAAAATTCATAGTGAAAACTAGGAATTTTTATCTTAAAAAAAATTTCGCGAAATTGAAGGGATCGAGGAAATTTTTTTCTCCATCACTTAGACAGAAGAGTGTCACTAAAGCCAGCGAAAAAAAAAAAGAATAAAAGATTGTCTGAATTACAGAAGATGCTTGTAAATGGAAACAAAATAACTCGCAATGATGAGCCCCTAAAACAGCTTCAATAAATTTTAGGTACAAAATGGTTAATTTATAACAGATAAATTTACTTTAGAATAAAAATTTTTTCGATATTTTCTAGAAAAGGAATCAACCTAATACTGGCAGCAGTATTTAACTTTTTTATCAGGCATATTTTGAAAATTAAACATGTGCATAATTAGATTCTTTCATTACAAAAAAAATGAAGTTACAGTGTAGAACAGAGGTTTTGTTTCCTTATAAAATTTACTCTTCATAAAGTAGCAAATGGGGGAGACACCTGCTATTAAAGCCTTAGGGTCAAATGCATGTAACTGGACAGATGAAAAGAGGTGTAAAATGAAATAAATAGAAAACGATTCTGTAAAAAAGGGTAGGATTAATTAAGAAAATTTTCGTTCTAATACTGATTCAGCAATAATTTGTTCTTCTGAGGGGAAGATAAAGATGGAGTTTCATTTTTATGCCAACTGCTTTTAATTTGAAACACATTTCGGATTTAACTTTTTGAATAAAAATAAACTAGTTTTGAAAAAATCTAGCAATTCTTTTAAAACTGAGTGTTCATCAAAATGACATGTTCTGAATAATAATAATAATAAAAACTGAAATATCAAGACAAAATGCTCAAAATCAGGAATATCAGGACAAAACGCAAAAAATCACGACAATTACAAGCCATACAATCAAGAAAAGCTTATTTATAATCTTTGGTTTGCAACTGGATTTTTTTTCCAGACAGGGTGAGAATATTTCAGGAGGCTTCAAGACAAAATTCTCAAAATCAGGAATATCCGGACAAAACACTAAAAATCAAGACAATTACAAACCATGCAATCAAGAAAAGCTTATTTATAATCTTTGGTTTGCAACTGGATTTTTTTTCCAGACAGGGTGAGAATATTTCAGGAGGCTTCAAGACAAAATGCTGAAAATCAGGAATATCAGGACAAAACGCAAAAAATAACGACAATTACAAGGCATGCAATCAAGAAAAGCTAATTTATAATCTTTGGTTTGCAACTGGATTTTTTTTCCAGACAGGGTGAGAATATTTCAGGAGGCTTCAAGACAAAATTCTCAAAATCAGGAATATCAGGACAAAACACTAAAAATCAAGACAATTACAAACCATGCAATTAGGAAAAGCTTATTTATAATTTTTGGTTTGCAACTGGATTTTTTTTTTCAGACAGGGTTAAAATATTTCAGGAGGGATGTATTTTTTAACTCATTTTCAATGCATACCAGTGTCTCAAATAAAAATATTTAAAGCACACTTATTCTTTAGTTGGATTGAAGCACATAATAATTAGGTTTCAAAAATATTTGTCATTAAGAACCGCAAAATAATGAGATTTTGGCTAAATTCTTTTCATGTGCATCAAAATCCCCAATTGAAATGCTTAAAAAATACTAAAACTCCTACTTCCCAGTCTATATATCAAACCACTCCAGTTTGACAAAAAAATATTACGTCATTTCAGACTATTGCTTTCCCCACAGTTTCTTAAATTTGTCAATTGACAATATTTTATGAAAAAAAAGCTAATGATGAAACAATTGAGTGATTTGCACTTGGTTCTGATAAAACCAAACAAATTTTCTAATGAGCATTTGCTTTAGAATGCATATAAAAATCAGGAAAATTCTCACGAAATGGTGGAAACCACAAAACAGTGAGTTTGGAACACACAACAGATTATAGCAGGTTTTTGTTCTTAAACACAGTAATCTGAATGTTCTAAAATTATCATTCAATAACTTCTCCCATTAAGGCCTTCATTTAACATTTACATCCTCTTCTTTAACCCTTTCGAGCCGACTGTCACATATATGTGACAGCAAGAAACGCGCTCACTTCCCGGCTGACACACCCGCGTGTCAGAGAGTTTTCTCGTTCACCCCCGACCGTCACTTATTTGTGCCAGCGTTTCGGAACGTTTTAAAAAATGAAATTTCTTCCAAAAGATGGCATTGTATGTCCATATGGTTTCAGATACATGTAGATTTGACCTTCTACTCAAGATGAAAGTACATTCACGTGGTTTTTAGGGGAAGGAGTGGAGGGGGGGAATGTTTTATGAGGGCTCTTTAAATTAGCACGTGATATTTATTTACAGTAAGTAAGGGAGTTTTTTTTTTCTCTCGCTACTTTCGATTTTCGGATTAGTTTTTAGTGGATAATTAGATCTTGTAGGCTTGAATTTTTTTTCTTTTTACCGTTAGAATGTCGAAGCGTCGAAAATTTTTAACTGAGCTGGAAATAGAGGAAATTATGCAAAATATTTAAACTTATTAATATTTATATTACATTTAAACAAGAAATAACTTAAGTAAATAAAGTATCCATAGAAATATATATAAAGCATATGTCACTTAAATACTCTACAGAACAATATTAAACAACGCGCTGATATTTCGGTAATTTCATGGAATTAGGCTTAACATCGAAAAACCCTCCGGCCCTGGGGAGACACACGCTAGAGAGATTGCCGGCCTCAGCGGTAAGCGCGCTTTCGCGCTTTGCGTCGCGAAAGGGTTAAGAATGTCAAACCTCTAAACTTTAATCGAAACATTTGTTTTCAATGATGGAAGAAATTTATAACAAATATATGAAAGAAAATCACATTGATATAAAGGATCAAATAGGGATAATGTAAAACAAAAATTTAAACTGTAACTTATTTTTATCTTTTAATTTGAAAGCAGCATAATAATAAAACATGCTGCTTTTTTAGTCTTTGCTGAAAAATCAGAAATGGTGTTGCACATTAGTTCAATTATTAAACTACAACAATAAAAAATGATAGAATCTATATTTTTGTCTAAAAATGTGAAAATGGTACCACATATTAAATTATTTGTCGGGAGTAACATGATATACCAAATTTTTATGTACTTAATTTTTAATTTTACACATTATAAAATTAAAGGCTTAGCTAAATAAAATGTGAGTATATTATTTTGACGGTAAAATTTATTTATGTTTTAATCTTTTATTTTAGTGCATCACAGACTCTTTCTAATCGAAAATTAATTGAAGAGGGACCAAATCAAATAAAAAAAAATTTAATTATGAAAAATACCTGCAGTTAATTAATAAATGAATCAGTATTTTTATTAATTTATTAGAATTTATTAAAAATACTGAAAATTACAACCTTTCAGGTAAAAAATAGCATTTGACATGGAAGATCTACCAGTAATTGATAAAGGGCATTTCAATAAAAACAAAAATGGCCAAGTAAAGATAAATTGAACCTATAATTTGATTGGAACAATCACAAAACCAAAAAATTTATTTCATACTGCAAAAGAATTTAGACTTAAGCTTACCATAAATTATCAGGAACATTACTAATTTATTAAAGTCAGTAAAGTAAAAATAAAACAAGTTAAGACATTTTAAAATGAAATTTTGCTTTTAATAAATTATTCAACCAGATGGTATCAAATAGACATTTAACAGTTTTAGGTAGCAAACTGAAACAAAGCAATAAGTCAATAGTATCTTTGCTGTAATGACAAATGAAGTGTAAAAAAGTTGAGCCCCAATAGTTAGAAGAAAAAGCAAATTTACAAAGACAAATTCATTTCAAAACTTAGGAAGAATCATCGGTCCTTCTGTTTACTGGCAACCAGTTCTCTAAGATTAGCCTCACTTTCTTTCATGTTACGTTCAAGATAAGTTTTATTTGCCTAAAACAGAATAAGAAAATTATTAACATTTAAAAATTCTTATCACAACCTTTGATAAAGAAATATAGAAAGTTAGAAAAGTGAGTTATAAGTGTCAGATTTGAATGCAAAAGGATAAACACATATTTTGTAAAAAAGAAAATTAAATTTCAAAATAGAAATCAATAGACAGATGTCACTAGATAAAATTTTAATGCCTGCTTAACATTAAACACAAAAATAAAAGGCACATATCTGTATCACAACTATCACCAATATCACACTAAAAAAGTTTAACACTTTTAAAAAATAAATAAATAAACTGTTTCTAAAAAAAAAAAANTACATGTAAATGCTTTTAAAAAAAAAAAAAAAAAAAAAAGCTGACATTTAATAAAAACCAATAAAAATCACAAGGAAATTTAAACTTTAATGATGGCATAAAATTCTGAAAATTATGTTTTCGCATTAAAAACTATCAAAATTAAGCTTATTTATTATTACAATTAATTTTATTTATTTCAATTATTTATTATTTCAATTCTTACTTTTTTTTTTCAATTTTAATTAAGCCCATTTATTTTTAAATTTCATTTCTGCCCAAATATTTCAATTTCTAAGCATTTCAATTTAGCATTATTTAGTTATATTTTTTATTAAAACAAAGTTTTGCTAATTGGAATTTTTTATAACTAGTTAGCAAATAGGCATAGCAATAGGCATAGTTTTCAATTTCAAATGAAATGCAAAATAATTATTGCACAGCTTAAAACCAAATTTCAAAAATAAAATATGTTTTAACACCCAATTAATAATTTATAAATTTTAAAACAATTAACAATCCTTTTTTTTTTTGCCAAACTGAGTGCGATTTCTTAAAGCAATTCTATTGGTTGTTGACAAATTATGAATAAATGATAATTTTAGAAAAGAAAAAAAAATTGCAGTCACAACAAAGATTATGCATACTGGATAAACAAATCATAGTTGGATAAAATAAATAAAATTTGCTTTTGTTTTAAAATCTCCTCTCTCAGCAATTAAAAATACTAATTGTGGTAGTTAATTTCAATATTTTTTTTACCTCTAATTCTTTGATCTTGTCTTGTGAAGTACGAATCTTTTTTGTTAACATATCATCAATATTCTTATGACTAGTTAAGAGAAACCTAGATATTGAAAAATAGAATATAGCGTTAATTAAAATCTATAAGTAAAATTAAAAAATTGCATATTTCATACTTTTGAAGAAAAAAATTTTTTTTTTTCAGGTTAATATTATACGTCATTATTTATAGATTGTTCATTTTTCAAAATTTTTTTTACCTTTATTATTGTTATATTAAAATGCTAGCAAATAAAATATTTGAAAATAACTAAATAATTTTAAATAGTGGAAATGTTAGCAATATAAAGATTTAATTAAAAAACTAAAACCAATTGAAAAGTAAACATGTGAAACATTAGAAGTACTAGTGAGAAAAAAGGAACCTATGTTAAGTTCTAAGATTTATAACGTTTGGAAAATAGATTAGCACAAAATGAGATATTAAACCCTTCAAATTTGTCAGTATCTAATTCAATCAATAAATTTTAAGTTCAACTTTAATAGTTTTTATATATTTTAAAAAGGGCATGATAATTTTTTGTTATTGTCAGAAAGGTAATTTTTTATTCACAACCATATATCCCAGTATATAAGTCAACTTTTCAAACCTCTAAATTTTATGAATAATCAGGGGGTCAACTTTATTGATCTTGAAACATCGTTGCATTATAAACAATGAGATAGATATGAATAATTTTATATGAATTTACTCCTTTCAAAAACTGTTTTCAACATGTTATACACGTTACACAATTTTTACATTTTCTATAAACATATTTTCTTTACATGTAAAAGCAACCTCATTTGCTTAATCCCACAATATATCATCTTCACCTCCATCCAAAGCATTTGGAATTCCACACTTTTTTTAAAGATTTTACAATAACATTTAAATCCATATTTTGACACATGACACTCTTGGTGCAGCGTAGACATTTTCTGTTTCTGTAAAAAATTTCCTGATTAAGTGGTCATAACACAGAGTTTGTTAATGGAGCTTTATTTGAATGAAAATGTATCACATCTAGAGAGAACAAATGTGAAACATTTTTAACATCAGAAAATTTTGTAGTAAACTAAATATTTTTTAAATTTTAGAAATTTTTATACTTGGATTTTTTCAGCGGTCAACTTATACACCATGATAAACAGTATTTCTTTCTATTTAACATACCACTTAATCCTAAATTATGATAAAAATTTTAAATAATTTATTATTTTTTTTATATGAGCTAGCTTAACATAGAACACTCAATTAATATAGCAAAAATTATTACTCTACACAATCTCTTAAAATTCATTGAATAAGTTAATAATGCCAAATATACACTTTCAAAAATTCAAATTATCCATTAAGTTTTAATGCTTCAATTGATCTCTCAAATGATCAATTTCAAGTTCTGAAAAGTATACTAAAGATAATTTTCAGAAGTGAAGTGACATTTTTCTGGTTTTTTAAATAGAAACAATTCCATACAAACATAATTAAAAAAAAAAAAAAAAAAAAAAAAAAAAAAAAAAAAAAAAAAAAAAAAAAAAAAANTATATATATATATATATATATATAAGTTCATAACGAAGAATAAAACAAAGAAAAATAATAGACATATGAAAAAGGGGGGGAAATAATAAGTAAAAAATAACAAACAGCAGTTTATTAAAAATAATAATAAATAACATAATTAAAAAAATCAAAAAAAAAAAAAAAAAAAAAAAAAAAAAAANAAAAAAATTACAACTTAAGGAAAAATCTCATGTCTTTATGCTTGCAAGATATATTTTAAGTCATAAATTGTTCCACAGCAATAATTTCAAAATTGCATAAACTTTAAATATAATTTCATTAAAATTTTTTAGAGGATTCAGTTTCTTAACCCTCCAAGCATTTAGAGCATGGGTAAAATTGTACGGAAATTCTCCAATTACACAAAACTATTTGCACATTGAATATTATTGGTTAACTGATTTTTCTGAAGAAGGATGACTTGCTTCTGAAAGTTGGAAAAAAGTCAGAACTATAACTCAGAGCAGGGGTGGCGAACCTTTCTACACCAACGTGCCATTTTCTCTAAAAAAATTGCTTAATGAGGTTATAGACGTGCCGTCAAATAATTTTGACTTTGTGATTATTGGGAAAATAATAATACTAAATACTATCAACTCAAAACTCTTTATTTACATTGAAAAAAAATACATTTTGCAATATCTCAGTTACACGCGTAATTCAACTTTCAAGTAACATCAGTATGACTTCTGTTGCAGATTAGATGACAAATAACTTATATTAGGGTTATAAGATGTTAGTTTAAACAGAACTGTTAATTTCTTTGTTGGTTATTTATTGTTAGCTTGTTTTTATGGTTATTAATTGTTTTTTTTAGCATTAATTTTTAATTTTTTATTATTGTTTATTATTTTGTTTATTTTTTTGTGAACTTTAATTTAATTGNCTAGAGAGAACAAATGTGAAACATTTTTAACATCAGAAAATTTTGTAGTAAACTAAATATTTTTTAAATTTTAGAAATTTTTATACTTGGATTTTTTCAGCGGTCAACTTATACACCATGATAAACAGTATTTCTTTCTATTTAACATACCACTTAATCCTAAATTATGATAAAAATTTTAAATAATTTATTATTTTTTTTATATGAGCTAGCTTAACATAGAACACTCAATTAATATAGCAAAAATTATTACTCAACACAATCTCTTAAAATTCATTGAATAAGTTAATAATGCCAAATATACACTTTCAAAAATTCAAATTATCCATTAAGTTTTAATGCTTCAATTGATCTCTCAAATGATCAATTTCAAGTTCTGAAAAGTATACTAAAGATAATTTTCAGAAGTGAAGTGACATTTTTCTGGTTTTTTAATTAGAAACAATTCCATACAAACACAATTTAAAAAAAAAAAAAAAAAAAAAAAAAAAAAAAAAAAAAAAAAAAAAAGATTACAACTTAAGGAAAAATCTCATGTCTTTATGCTTGCAAGATATATTTTAAGTCATAAATTATTCCACAGCAATAATTTCAAATTTGCATAAACTTTAAATATAATTTCATTAAAAATTTTTAGAGGATTCAGTTTCTTAATCCTCCAAGCATTTAGAGCATGGGTAAAATTGTACGGAAATTCTCCAGTTACACAAAATTATTTGCACATTGAATATTATTGGTAAACTGATTTTTCTGAAGAAGGATGACTTGCTTCTGAAAGGTGGAAAAAAGTCAGAACTATAACTCAGAGGGTCTATAAAATTTTACCATGATATATTTTAAGAGAAAATTTTTGCTTCAAGTTTTGAATTTAAATTAATTGATAAAAGGTTAATCAACTATCATTAAACTAACTATAACACAATATGTACAAGACAGTTTGATATTTATATACATGAAATAAAACATATAAAAGAATTTAAAGTAAATTATTGACATCAATATATTTATTGGTTTTGTTAATATATTTGTTTGACCTTTCATGCATTTGGTGTAGAGGTTTGCTTGATTGCTGGGAGAGGTTTTGATAGTCTCTCCTAATGGTTTTTTTCAATACAAAGTCTATGGAAAAAATTTGGTGCTTCCCAAAACTGTATTAAGATGAATGCACATACATGTCATGGCAAAAGTATTAAATAATTATTACAAAACATTTATAGACCTGATATTGAATAAGAGTTTCAATTAAGTCAAAATAAATTTTGATAACAGTAATATAAACTTACATTCTTCCAACACCATTATACATATTGGTGTCTTCCGGAAGATTTTCCAGTTCTCTCTGAGTCAGTTGAGCATGTTTGATGGATGTGGTCAGTGCATCTACTTGTATATCTGCTACTTTCATTTTCTGTGTTGTTTCCAGAACCTTAGTTTGTAACTCTTGAAAAGCCTATGACACAAATTGAAAGAATAAAAATGCAAATTATGTAAGTACATAAAAATAATGTTAAATGTTTACCAATAATGAAATTAATCATGATTGATGAGAATAATTATGAATGATTCCATAATTAAAATATTGAAACATAAATATTTATTTTTTAAACTTCAATAGAAAAAAACATAAATGAAGCAATAAGAACAATTCTTGGATGTCCGTGCAAGAAAAAACTTGTTTCTTAGCTTTTTCAATATAATACCTTGAAATATATATGACTAAAATAATAATAAATTAGCTGAGTAATTTTTATAATAATTCATAAAAAATATCTATTCATTCAAAAACATTTAACCTAGAGTTTGTATTACAAATATTCACAATAAGAATTTAATAAACATTATAGGGTATTCCCAGAAAAGCAAAATTAGTGATGAACATTTAAACCGACTCGCTTAATTTCTCCAATACTTACAAAACAAGGGCTCCAAATGTTTAGAGCAGCACCTCTAGTACAGCTCTTTTGGGAATACTCCTGAAATTAATTAAGTACCATCAATTCTCCCACAATTCCATTTAAATCACTCATCATCATAATTGGCCAGACAGCACAACGCCTTTCTCGGAAGATTTCTCCATGATGACTTCCGATTTACCTTTGATCTCCAATTCTTTTCATTAATTGCGAGAAAATCAGACTCTACTGAGTCAGCCCATCTTAACCACGACCTTCCCCGCTTTCTTGTTCCAGTGGGTCTAAAAAGCAGTATCTTTCTTATTGTATTGTCATCATTCATTCGAATCACATGGGCCATCCAATTCATTCTATTTATTTTTATGTATTTAATAATATCAGGTTGCTTATAAATCTTGTACAGTTCAAAGTCAAATCTCCTTCTCCAGTTATTGTTTTCATTAACACCACCAAGTATACTCTGCAAAATCTTTCTCTCAAATATTGCGTTGTGATACAATTTTCCTCCTGTTTTGTCATTGTCCAAGCTTCAGAAGCGTATGTCAAGACTAACCAGACAAGAGTTTTGTAGATCAAGAACTTTGTTTTTCTAGAAATAAACCTAGATTTAATAAATCTTCTCAGCCCATAGACATACTTGCCAGATAGAGTCGGTTTTTATTTCAGGAGTAATTCTGTTCTCAATGGTAATAATTGATCCTAAGTAAGTTAAACTCCTTACTGTTTCAAATCTAAACGAATTTATTTCAAGATAGGGGTCCGGCATTCTGTTTCGTGAGAATAACACATATTTTGTTTTCTCTACATTTATTACTAAGCCCATTTGCCTTGCAGCCAGAAATGACTCTTCATTTAAATCACTATGTTCTAATTAAAATTAAAATTGTCGCCTATCAGTGAAATTGGCGATAAAAAAAAAATTCTGGAAAATAGGTGCAGATCCTTGGACAAAAAATATCTTACATAATAGTAGGCAATTTAATATAGAATTCAATTTTCTTTTTATACAATATTTCTGTGGTGTATTTCTATAATCAATATTTATCGAAATATTTTTTTTAATCATTTTTAAATCTACAACTTATAATAATTGATGCTGGATATAATAAGAATAAAATTAAATTAAAAACCTAATTCTCATAAAATTCCATTAAAAAAATCTTAGGAAAGACTTCCATATTGCTCTGTGTGGCAAAAAAGTCTTTGCCACTTCTGTGCAGTGGCTCACAAGAAACCAAAAAAAAAAAAAAAGAAGAAGAAGGGGACCGACTTGTGAAGGTATAACTCTTAGCCACTCCCAGACAAACCTCAACGTAATTTTATAAAAAAATTTTCCTAGTTCAAAATCCATTTGGTGCCTTAGCGATTGTAGTTGGTGTGACAGATTATGATACAGAAATATCCCAAAATCCTACTTAATACCATTGTCAAATTTTTGTGTTGATCCGGCAAAATTTTAGATTTAAAAATCAAATTGATACAGATATTTAATTTATTATGTAGTTTTAGAAGCACAGATAACAAATATTACCTATTATATAATGGGAAAAAGATCATAATATTGATAAACTAAAAATAAGTGATGACATTATTGTGGTAGGGGATAGTGATCTGTCATGACAAATAGATTTTAAGCTTGAATTTAAAAAAAAAAAAAAAAACAGGAAGAGGTTGCTTGATTCTGGTTGTGAGTTACACCCTTCAAACTTGTCCCCTTCTGTGATGTTATTTTCAGTTTATGAAATTTTCAGTTTATGAATGACCTGCTGTCACCTTTCCTTGTAATGTTAGCTATAAGAATCAAAACAATATCTGAAGTTTAAATATTTTATATTAAAAAATTTTAATAGTACAATAATCTAATAAAATACACATTTTTAAAACTTCATTAATCAAACTATTGAAGTGAAGATGAAACATTTTAAAGTTTGAAAAGTAAAAACAAACTATGTTCACTTACAATTTTTAAAAAAATATAAACATTTTAATTTAAGAATCAAACAGATGTGTCAGTAAATAAGCTTTAGACTGGTCTAAGTCCTTAAAGGTGGTCAAAAAGTAAAATCTATGAAACGCATTTTTAAAAAAACTGCTCATTTATTTCTAAATTATATTAATAAAACGGCAGTTCACTAGCCTGTAACTAAAAGTTGTACAAAAACAATTGCGGTTTGAGCTTCAGCTGCAGATAATTTTGATCACATTTTACTTCAAAAATAAAATAAATCAGCATCTGTAATTTAATAATACAGAAAGTAATAGGTGATCGTTAGATTCCTTAACAAGCCTTACTTTTTTCAATTCCAAGTCAACTCCTGTCGCGGCCATGCTTTAGTTTTAATTAATTTACTTTTTAAATAAATTCTTTATATTTATTTTCGGAAACCTCGCAGAATTTGGCAGTGTCTATTACACCGACTATCGGTAAGATAGCCTCAGAGCTATCGCGCCGACGTTGACAACAGCGCCACTTTACAGAAACTAATTCATCGGTACAATAGCTATAAGTTATGCTTTTCTACCTGTGTATGTGAAATTGGTAATGGGTTGTCATTGTTTGATGGGTTGTCATTGTTTCACCAACAACAAAAAATTTAAAAATAAAAGAACATTANGAATTCTTCCACCATGTGTATTTCAATTCCAGCGGAGCCTTATCAAATTTTTTAAATTTCTTTGAAGCATTTTGTAAAGTTTTCGCTTCTCTCTTCCAGAAGATCGTCCTTTTTTCTTTTTCAAATTCATGAATGGCTATTTGTTATTCTTCATATGAAGAAAATCAAGATGCTACAAAAATTGTAGCTGCCTTGACTACGATAAACAGAGCTAAATTATTTTTGAAAAAAAAATCGGAGAGTCACGTGGACAGATACGCTCTATGATTGGTTAAAAATTTGATCGGTAAGATAGCAAAATGAATTTTACTGCGCCGATAATCGGTGCAATAGACACTCCGGCAGAATTTAGTTCCTAGAGTGGAAGTAAAAGTTATTGAAAATAAAAGAATAAAAATGTTTTCATAAAATTCGCTTGTGATCTTTAAGCAAATTTAGCCTTGAACCCCTAGACTATCGACTGTATCTGATTCACAAAAGTTATCACACGCATGTGTTATTCACGGTGCAAGACATTTCTACTAGGACGCAAGAAATTTCTCTTTGCATGTAATCGCAATTTTCAGCAAATCACGCAAGCGTGAGAAATTCGTTTTATATGCAATTTCTAAAAGTTTGTACGTGCGCTTAGATAAATCGGATGCAGTGTAGTTAATACGTTTAGGTCTATCATAAGTTGTGATAAATGACTCCTATGGGGCCACTCTCAAGCGAGAACCTCATGATATGTGTGTGAAATGCATTTGATGAGTTTTCGAGGGTAAATATTTTCCACTAATCTGGTTTTTATTCGCATACGAGATAAACGCAGGTAGTGAAAATATTTGGCAGAAGTAGCATTTGAAGGGAAATCGGAGAATGGGTCATTCTCACTGCATCAAAAAAATTAGACTATAAGTTATTCACAAAAAATTCAAGCACTTGAACTCGAAGACGCAAGCTAGAATCTGATTGTCAGGATTTTCATAGATATTTTACCAATATCCAATTAGATTCTTAATCGCATCTCTAAATTCGAGTCAGAAAATTTTTTCATACAGTGAGAACAGTTTCGAAAGGGATAGTTTTTATGACATCATCAGTAGTAGAAATGCTTTATTTACATCGCTCTAGAGCTGCACAACGGGCGATTTACGACTGTCTGTTAAACATCCTTGAGGATGATCCGAAGGCGTGCCATCATAATTTTGATCTCCTGCAAAGAGGAAAGCACTACAGCTTTGATAGTCAGTGATATGCGCTTGGAGTTAAGCACTTTTCAGCAGAATAGTTTAGCGAGTTAGCAGAACCGATCCAGCCACCCTCAGTCCCTATGTTGGCTGATCAAAATGTCACCCCTCAGCTTACTAACAGTGACCAATGATGGTTGACTATGCTCTACCGGAAACCATTTCTCATTGCGGGACTGCTTATGATGGATAAAGATGCTGTTACCAGAACGACGGACTGCACACAGATGAGAATAGAAACGCATTAAGTTCACCTCTCGCATGTCTCTCGTACTCACATTGTAAGTGTGTCTGCGCGACAGATATCTGTAGCACCATTGAGGTGCCATTCTTGCTGCATGCTATTTTTCTCATATGAATGACAACTTGATGGGCAATTTTTTAGAGGCTGAAATTTTTTCATCAATCCTTTTCTCATTCTCATGTAATTCTTTTCCCTCATGTAAATTCACGATCGAAATGGGTTACAGGTGGGGTAGAGCAGAACTCTCTACCTATGGCAAGTCTTCGTATACTTTCACCATTAGCGTGTGAGAGTCATAGAAGTTGGAATTACGTTAATTTATGTCTTGATTTTCAAATAGATTAAAATCTTTTAAGTTAGGAAACTATATGGAGCTGAAAACTACATTAAACTTAGTTCTAAAAGAAAGTATCATGGAAATTTTAAGAAATATATGTAACAATTAAATACGAAAACTATTAAGAAAAGGAAAAACATCGCAGTACATTCCTATGCAACTGAATATAGGAGAAAAGGGAAGGGAGAAGGGTCGAAGAAATGAAACCGGTCTTCTCCCCATATGGTGTATTCGAGCGTTGCGATACTGAACAGTAAAATAAATACTCCCATGCAATTAAATAGTCAAAACAAAAGAAAACTTCCTAGAATGCCGAGAGGTTTCGTATACACAGCTTCATCAGCAATGAGATATATTGAACTTTTTACATTTCAAAAAAACTTACTGTTAACTTACGGTTTACCATGAAACAGAATAAAGTATCGGGTAATCCTGAATACTCAAGAAAAATTTTTTAAAGGCGAAAATAGTTCTAGGTACTTCTCCTGACTTGGAGATTTGTCGCTGAAAATAAGAAAAAGTAAAAAAAAAAAAACACATTTCGTAACGCCATGCCATTTAAGAACAACATATAATTCACGCATGCGCGAGTAGTTCCCCCATGTAGTCTTTTTTAAACGCTCATAAATATATATCAAAGGCAATAAAAAAAGTTTTTTTTAAAGAAAAGGTAGCACTTTCAAGTAAATATCCAAACTTGACAACATATTATTTTTTTTAAAGAAATTATTGTATTAACCTTTAAATTCGAGCATTTTCAAAATTTTTAATTATGAAAAAATTATGTTTCCAAATATTCCGGAAGCCTAAAAAATTGAAAAAAAAAGGAAGAAAAAAAAAGAATATTTAGTGGCCATTATCCGATGAAACACTATCTCTAGTAAATATCAAATTTCATTTCGTAATTTTAAAAGTAATTACAGAAGCCGGGATAGCCTGGTCGGTAGGGCGCTGGGCCCGTGTCCGAGAGTTCGTGGGTTCGAACCCCGCCGGCCGAAGATTCCTCGTGTAGTAAAGTGACTGATGCACGTTAAATCTGTCGAGTCGCAAAAGTCCTCCACGTTCCCATAACAAAAACTTCTGGGGGTACTGGATTGGAGATCGATCGTTCTCTGATTCAGATCAAAATTACGATCTGTGGATGAATGAATGGATGTATGAATGGGTCCGCCCCATGAACGGGTGTGACGTATGGTGTGGCAGAAGTTGAATTTTTGGCCATAGATGGCGCCACTGGAAAACAAGAACAATCACAATCACTTTGCCTAAACAGGCATGCGTCAACAACAACAACAAAAGTAATTACTTTTTACAACGCCGGAAATTTTGACACTCATTTAGTCACGTAATCTTAATTCCGTGACAATACTGGTGTGAAAGTGTTTATCATAGAATATTATGAAAATAAAATGGAAAATCCTTCCGAAATGCTACAAGGGTGCGTTTAATTACCCATTTCCGACATTAGCCAAGCTAGGTTTTTATTCGATCTATAAGCACCTCTTAAATATAACCTGTTTTTATTCTGCAACTTTTCTTCAGTTGCACTTTAAGAAAAAAAATGTAACACTAGTATTTTATCGCAATTGTTAGGCCATAAGAAAGCATAAAACATTTTTCAAACGTCCATTACATGTGTTATTTTCGAGGAAATATATTTTACAAGAAATAAAATAAAATTAGATTGGAATTAAAAAAAAATAATAATGAAATACTAGAAAATAACAAAATGCTTTTCGTTACACCAAGAAGTAGGTAGTAGAGAAACCCCTTGATTTGTAAAAATTATCTTCACGATCGTTACGAAATCATCAAATTGATTGATACTTATGGTCGATTTGCTTCGGAAGTAATAGTAATAAAATAGAGCAAGGCCAAACATTTAAACTGATATAAGTTTATCAAAATATAAACAATTTTATCTTTTTTTTAAAAAATAAATAAATGAATAATAAAAAAAATAATTAAACAGATCTTAATTTTAGGAGAACTGCCAAATTTTGACTGCTTGTGATGTGTAATTCGAATAATTTAAGTTTTTCCAATTTTTTTAAAATGTATTTTCTAGGTACTCATTGTACTGCAAAATACGATAGCAGTAATTGAGCCGCTGTGGCTTAAGGGATCGAACGTTTTCCTGCCAATTAGGTCACCCAGGTTTGAAACCCAGTGGTTGCTGATTAACACGAATTCTGCTCCCGGCACCGGCTACAGTGCTGACGTAAAATATCCTCAGTGGTAGACGGATCATGGGTTAGATTCCCCTTGCCATGGAGCTAACTGTAGGAAGTTTAAGTGGTTTTCCTCTCCATGTAGAGCAAATGCGGGTTAGTTTCACCAAAAAGCTTTCCAAGAAGGCTGGTTGTCCCAATGCTTGATTCTGCTTTGTTTCTGGGTTGTTTGCTTTTGTTTTTTGGGTTGTGTTCGAAATTGCAAGGCTGCGGAGTTCGACGTTGATTGTTATAAACTTAGAATTGGGTCGGTTGTTAAGTGCCGTTTATAAAATATAAGATAAAATAATACCAAAGATTACAATATGCTTCGTTAATTACGTGTTTTATCATTAATATTAGTTTCTAAATTTATGATTAAAGCGCAGTTTTCAATGTTATCAAACATTTTTGAAATGATATTAAAAACAAATAATGAAACATTTAAAACTTCGTGTAAAATTCGATGTAATATTAAACGCATTGAAAATGGACAAATATTGAATTGGTGAGGCAAAACAATTTTTTACTTATTTGGCACTTTGGCGCATGCGGTTGACCATCTTTAAAAACCAGTTTATATTCTATTTGTAAAAATAAATAAATAAATCATAAAAAATGATTTTACGGGTTACAGTTTAATATTTATAAGTTATAAAAAATATTTCCGAACTCTGAACAATCCTTATTAAGGTCGGAAAGAGCAATGGCTGGATAAGAAATATCAAAAAATAGTGTGTTTTTCTACTGAGAATTGTAAGCATTCGTCCTACTCTAAAACCGTCTTAAA